TTAAATGTTATAACGAAATGTGCAAAGACCTGAAGTTAGAAAACCAAAAGGGAAGAACACATCCAGCATTTTACAAGCTGAGGGAACTGAAGGAAAAATTGAAAGCCTTGATGTGAAATATTGAAGGAGTCTAATGGACTTCTGATACGGTGCTGTAGGATCAGCACTGGACTGCGAAACACAAGGTTGGCAGTTCAAAACCACCAGCTGCTCCTCAGAAACCCTATGTAGGGCCACTATGAGTCAGAACAGACTCAATGGCACTTAACAACAACATGGGCAAAATACTGAATGATGCACAGAGCATTAAAAGAAGATGGAAGGAATACACACAATCACTGTACCAAAACGAAATGGCCATTATTCAACCACTTCAAGAAATAGCAAATGATCAAGAATTAAGGGTAAGAATTGAAGAAGTCCAAGTTACAATGAAGGCATTGGTGAAAAACAAGGATTCATGGGAGGTTCGCGGGGGTGCATCCCCGACGCCCTACATATACCTGAAGCTGCACCTGTCCAGAGAGGATCCTCTAACTAGCACTGTAGCCTCGGGCCGCAGGTGGGGGTTCATCTGGGGACTGCCAGCACCCAGGAGCATATCCATAGCACCCCTCCACTTTGTTTAGGTACAGTCACCCGGACGGTGCCGAAGGAACTGCTGGGTCTTGACAGATGGTTTTTGTTTGGAGCCATTCCTCCAGGTGTAACCTGTCCCCTCTGCTGCGGGATCCTCAAACGGGTAGATTTGTTTTCACTTTGGGTGAGAAGACGACGACTTGCACCAATCAAAAACTTTTGGTTTCTTTGGGTGACTTAATATTACCCAAACTTGTTTTTGTGTGAGGTTGCTCCAAAGGTTATTGTTTACCGTAGAGTCACCCTCCTGGAGTCCAGTCTTTTCTGAGGGCGTAAATGGCCAATTCGAGACCGCAGCTGCTGGGTTTTTCCATGGCCCTGCCTGGTGGCTTGCACTGCCATCCAGCAGTGGCAGATGAGTTGGTACACGGGCGACATCATCATCATGGCCCAGGCCCTGTACAAGGGGCTGTGGGTGGAGCATTGGACGTACGCAGAGCACTGGTTGATGAGCTGCAAAATTTACGACTCGGTGTTCGCCCTGCCAGTGGCTTTGCAGGCCACTCATGCTCTAATGGTAGTATCACCGGTGCTGAGCTTCTTCACTATGTTTGTGGCCACGATGGGAACGAAGTGCACACACTGTGGAGGAGACGACAAAGTACAGAAAGCCTGTCTAGCAATGACCAGAGGCATTGTTTTTATCGTGGCAGGTCTTACTGCCCTGGTAGCTTGTTCCTGGTATGGCCATCAGGTTGTCTCAGACTTTTATAATCCCTTGGTCCTGTGAATTTTAAGTTCGAGTTTGGTCCTGCCATTTTTATTGTCTGGGCGGGGTCAGCTCTGGTGCTTCTGGGTGGGGGTGAGTCCTGGCAGTGAGAGCAAAACTGGGTACCGGGTGCCCCGCGCCTACTCTAAACCCAACTCTGCCAAAGTGTACGTGTGAACTGGAACATCTTTGCCATAACCTGACAGTCAGAGAGCTCAGCCTGTGGACCGGGAGCCGAGCAAAGGCCTCCTGGCCAGCCCAGTTCTGCTGCATACCATGTAGTCCTCTAGGCAGAGTGTGCTTTTTATACAGTAATAAAAATACTTTGGAAAATAGGCTTCTTTTTTCCCCCTTCAGGGCCTTTTATTGCAGCTCAGGTCCTAGCAGGGAGCCTGGAGCCTAAATGTACCTACATTTAGCACAGTTCAAAATCACTTAATTGGTACAACAGACTTGGATAGACTGGGAGAAAAATATGGAACAAAACTCAAAAAA